CTCCTTTCCCGCTCGCTCAGGATGCGGTTTCGATCAGGTTTGCCCGCGGCAGCTTTTGTGTCTTTCCGATTTTGCTCTGGAGGTTCTGATCGATGTTTTGGTGTCGAAGTCGAGACGGCCTGCAGGTGGCCAGTCATCTGGAACAACATCGTTTTTCTCGCCAAGCGTGATGGGGTATTCAGGCCCATCGCACTGATCCACAGTTTGGCTCGCGTCCAGGGTCGACTGCGTAAGCCACCCGTTTCGCGCTGGCAGGCGGATCATCCTCGAGATTGTTGGTGGTTCACGGCTGGCCGCAGTAGTGACAAGCTCGTCTGGATTCAGTCAGCCTCTGCCGAATGGGCGCGAGGCAAAAGCATCGACAGTGCCTTCGTGCTCTTAAACCTGCAGAAGGCCTTCGAATGTATCAAGCACTCCCAGTTGGTCTCGGCCGCGAAGCTCTCAAAGTTTCCGCTTCGCCAGTTGAGGCTTCTCATAGAGCTCTATCGTTGTCCTCGTGTCCTCTGCCTGCAGAACGCTGTCTCCACTCCCGTGGAGACGCTTCAGGCTGTGCTCCCAGGCTGCCACTTCGCTACCTTGATGTTGCAGCTCATTATGTTGCTTCCTCTGGACACCGTCCAGGCGGCTTTTGTTCACGTGCAGCTAGGCAATGGTGTTGATGACTTCGGGCTCCAGCGCCTCGGGCGCGAGGCCGATGTGGCCAGGGAGCTTGCCGCTGCCACCGCTCTCTTGCACCGCGAGCTCGCTGCGGTGAAGATGCCCGTCGCCGTCAAATAATCCCGCATCGTTGCCTGCTCGCCTGCTCTGCGCATCACATGCGACAGCAAGTTGAAGCGCTACGGAGTGCAGGCCGCCAAGACTGAGCGTAACATTGGCATTGGTGTCGCCGCTGCACGTTGCCATCCCCGAGCCACGCGAGCTGCAAGGGAAAAGCCAGCTGTCAAGTGTGCCAAGGAGTTGTTGTCGGTGCGAGGCCTTGTTAAGCGCAGTTTTATGCACACCATGGTGCAGAGCGCAGCTCTCTCCTCCATGAAGTGTGGTGGTACAGTGCTTGACACCACTGGCACGGATCTCAGGCTGGCACGCACCACCCAAGCACGAGTGCAGGCGCAGTGTTTGGCAGGACGTTCGGTCACGCTGCTGCTGATGCTGTCCTCCAAACCCACCGTTGATCCTTTCTACTCCCTCAACCTCGGTCCTCTCATCACCTTTGTCGCCGCCGTCTGGGACCACTGGTTGCCCAGGAGAATGCTGGAGCAAGGTATCGTCGCCGAGGTTGAGCGTTTGGAGGGGCATGGGAACCCTTGGTCCAGCATCCGAGGTCCCTGTTTCAGCTTGTGCCGCAACCGCTCAGAGGATCGGGATCGAGATTTCTGGTTTTTCGTGGCGGGTCGCTGGCCTGGGAGTTCTCGGCTTCACTGCCGCGTGCCCACGCACCGCCAGGGCGTGGCCCACCAGGGCCATCACGGCCATTCTCGGGGCTGAGGTTGTTGAGCGCGAAGGAGTGCCCGAGCTTGCTAACAGATGTCTGCTTGAGCCCGTGCGCAAGATTCTTCGCAGCAGCGCGTTCTCGCATCAAGAACGATGCTATTTGAAGTCTGTGATCAGCGGAGGCCAATGGCCTCAGCATCGGCAGTGGACCGCCGAACCCTCTGCTTCCTCGGAGTGCAAGCTCTGTTTGAGTAGTCCTGGTACGTTGCTGCACAGACACGCCTGCTGCCCAGGCCACTCCGAAGTCCTTCCTGATGTTGCCCCTCCCGAGTTCAGCACAAATCTCGTCAGGGCCAGCGGAGGTGCTCTTCCCTGGTTGTTTGCCGAGAGGCTGCTTGTGCCCGATGCTCCTCTCCCCTCCTCTGCTGCGCTGCCTGAAAGATGGTTCGGGGGAGGCTCACAGGAGTTATATGGACACGTTTTTCTCGACGGGAGTTGGTATGATCAAGATTTGCCCGCGCGTGCGCAGGCTGTTGCATAGGCTGTCGTTGCCGCCGAGCCGCCCCATCCCTTTCGCACCCTCTCCGTGCTGGTTGGCTGTCTCGCCGACCCGTATAGAGACATCGACGCCGCCGACTTGGCGGCGCTGTTGCGCAGTCTTCAGCACGCGCTACCAGGCACCGTATTCTATTATGATTCGTCGTTCGTCGTCGACGGCCTCTACGTCAGAGGCCAGGCGGCCTGATGTTCTGCCGCCAGCGCTTGGGCTGATCGTTGGGTTCAGGTCTGGGCGCGCGCGCATGACTGGGGTGGCCTAGAGTATGTGCACGTGCGCAAGGTCAAAGGACACTGCACCGAAGCGCGCGTGCAGCTAGGCCCCGCCTCCCGCTTCGAGAAGATCGGCAATGATTTGGCCGACGAGTGGGCCCCGTGGATGGCCCAGCGTGCGCGTGTGCCCGAGTCTATGCGCACCGCACGTCGTGCCAAATTACGTGTTTTTTCCAAGTGGGCCGAGTGGGTCGCCCGTCTCGGCCCGCACATGACTGATTTTGATTGCCTCCACGCCGGTGCTAAACAGCGCAGCTCGAACCCCCACGAGCCCTCGCTGGTTGTTCTTCCCCCGCCGCCCTCCCGCACCCCGAGAGGCCTCGGCCAAGCTGATCTCTCGGCTGTGAGGCAGGCTCTTGCGAATCCAGACGCGCTCCAGCATGTCATTCGCCCGCTCCAGCTGGCCAATCGAGCGTGGCGCGTGGTGTGCGTGAGGTGTTGGTTTGGGTGTATGAAGGTTTCGGCCAAGCTGAACGGGGCCTGTCCAGGGCCGCCCCGTCCAGGCTCGCATGGCGCCCGTGTCCTCTCCAACTTGGGCCGTGCGCCAGCGAGATTTTCCGTGAATCACGTGTGGCACCTCTTCGTGCAAAGGTTCTGCACGGTTGACATACCCAGAGCTGGCGAGGCCACTTCATTTGGCTCCGCGTCCGCCCGTGAGTCGTCACCCGCCGCTGTGCAGTGAGGTGGCGGAAGTGGCGCGTTGCGCCACCCCGCTGCACGCGCGGTGGCGCAAGTGGCACGGAGTCAGGTACTCCGTATTCTTCCGTTGGCGCCACCCGCCTTTGTGCAGTGCGGGGGTGCAGGTGGCTTGAAGCGCCACCCCATTGCACATGCGGTGGCGCAAGTGGCACAAGGGGCGCGACAGACTCATGTTGCGCTCAGGTTTTGTCGAGGAGGAGGATGAGGAGGAGGGGGAGGAGGAGAAGGAGGAGGAGGAGGAGGAGGAGGAGGAGGAGTAGAGAGGGAGGAGGAGGAGGAGGAGGAGGAGGAGGAGGAGGAGGAGGAGGAGGAGGAGGAAGGAGGAGGAGGAGGAGGAGGAGGAGGAGGAGGAGGAGGAGGAGGAGGGAGGAGGAGGAGGAGGAGGAGAGAGGGAGGAGAGAGGAGGAGGAGGAGGAGGAGGAGGAGGGGGAGGAGGAGGAGAACAAGCTGAGGAGGCGGAGGGCCAGCAGCGAAATTGCTAGAACGCCCCGCCACCGAAGAAACCCCACTGCGCCGACGGTGCCTGGAATTTCTTGCTTCCGCGGGGATTCGGACGGCGAACAGCGAAAGTGCTAAAACGCCCCGCCACCGAAGACGCCCCGCTGCGCCGCAGGTGTCTGGACTTTCTTGTTTCCGCGCGGATTCGAAAGGCCAACAGCGAAAGTGTTAGAACGTCCCGCCACCGAAGACGCCTCGCTGCGCCGAAGGTACCTTGAAGTTCTTGTTTCCGCGCGGATTCGGGCGGCCAGCAGCGAAAGTGCTGGAATACCGCGCCACCGAAGACGCCCTTCTGCGCCGAAGGTACCTTGAAGTTCTTGCTTCCGCGCGGATTCGGATGGCTAGCAGCGAAAGTGCTAGAACGCCCCGCCACCGAAGACGCCCCGCTGCGCCGAAGGTACCTTGGTGAAGTTCTTCTGGCCGCGCGGAGCGGTGAACCGTGCATTCGGGCGTCAGCAGCGACATGAGAAGATGCTTTTGGTCCCCGCGGAGCGCTTTAGTGTACCCACTATGTCTGGACAGCCATGGGTTTCTTCCACAGCGTTGCTGGCGCTTCTCTCGGCGCGGTCCGCGAAAAACCTCTTCGGGCCAGGGTTCCCTGGGTTTCTCCGCTAGGAGCCCCTGGCCGAGATACCCAGTTCGAAGCCCTTTGACAGCTGCGTTAGTCACACAGGTATCACATGTCAAAGTAAAGGTTGCCGCCTGACTTAGACAAGCTCACATCGGAGAAGTACCACGGACGCCCATTCATAAGGCGGCCCAGATCTACCCGCAGCACATTTCGGCGCACTGCGTAAATATAGAAAGCCCTCTTCGAGAGCTTTTCCGCTCTGCTTTCTCCCCCGCTCCCCTCTCTTCCCAACCCTTCCTCTTCGCTGTCTCTCCCCCTCCCCTCCTCCACAAACTCATCATGAAGAGATTCTCATCTCAGCTTCGTAGCATCTGGTGGCTGTTGCTCCCTGAGCGCAGCCACCAAACATATAGGTGAATTCGGAACGTCTGCTCAATCCGGTGCATATGTGCATATCCGCTAGGATACGCAGCTTCGGCCGGCAAGGACGGTGATGGACGGAGCTGCTTGGTGTTATTTTCGGGCGACGAAGTCTGTACATATCAACTGCTCCCTGGCCAGGCCCATCTTGAACCCAGGAGCTGTGTATACGCAGTTCTGGCCAAGCCAGGAGGGCGTGGCGCATGCACCGCTGCTGGGTTCAGGATGGGCCTGGCCAGGGAGCAGTGGACATGTATAGCCTTGGTCGCCCTGGATTTCGCGGGACTTGCTCGCCTCGTGTTGTCTTCTCCGTCCTCAATCGAGGATAAAAGAACTGCGAACCCTACTGACAGAGTAAAGACGTGGCCTCACTTAGGTTCCCATCTTTGCATTCGGAATCATGGCTAGCCCAGTACATCTGCAGAAAAAAAAAACAGACCCCCATATGTTTGATGTTCTTGGCCCTCCTGACTTAGGTCCCCTCCCAGAGGGTTAGGGGTCCTTTTTTGGTCGATCCGCCCTCCCGTCCTGGAGCGCCCCCCCCCCCCGCACCAGCCACGAACCTCGCGATCCAGCTCCACGACGCGGGCCAGCTGCACGACGCGGAGCCCCACTACCGCCAGGAGCCCGGCGGCCGTGGGCCAAGAGGTTTGGGATGACTGGATCGGGGGGCGAGGAGGTGGAGAAGGATTCGCTCCTGCTCCTCCTCCTCCTCCTCCTCCTCCTCCTCCTCCTCCTCCTCCCCTTCCCTCCTCCTTCCCATCTGGCACGCCTCCTCCTCCTCCTCCTCCCCCTCCTCCTCCTCCTCCTCCTCCTCCTCCTCCTCCTCCTCCTCCTCTCCTTCCCTCCCCCCCATCCGGCACGCCTCCTCATCCTTCTCTTCCTCCTGCTCCTCCTTTTCCTCTCGTCGTTTCCCTCCTCCTTCTCCACCTCCTGTCGTTTCCTCCCCTCTCCTCCCCTCCCCCTCCTCGTACTCCCTTCCCAACTGCTCCTCCTGCCCCTCTTCCCTCGGGCCTGAGGCCTTTCGGATGGAATCTTTCAGCTGCTCGTACCAGTCAGTGCTGGTTCGGCGTGCTCGGAAGTTCGACCAAGACCTCACCCAGGATCAGGAGATTTACCCGACCGCGGTCATCACCCGGCATTCAACCCTCCTCTCTCTTTGCGTCCTTTCCTCCTCCCTTCGCACTCTTTGCAATGCGTGGTGCAAGACTGAGTAGTTCGGGAAGGCGCAGTGCTGCCGCGCATGCAATGCCCCCCGAGGCGATTGTCTGAGGCACATTGTGGTTTGCCCCACCTTTGTACCTCGTCTGCTCCTTTTCCCCCTCCTTCCGAACTTCTTCCAGTGAGGTGGATGGCAAGATCGCGTGTGTGTGTGTGTGTGCATGCGTGTGGCATCACCTTCTCATGGCTCCTGAGACGCTTGTCTCCGTTGCTTTTGCCCTTGACACAACTATACACATATAGCAAAGCGTACCCTGATTTCAAGCGCACTTATATAAACTCAGCCCGACTGCGAAAGCATGCCGAAGCTGGATTGCAGCAGCTCGCCCGCAGAGATGATTGAATCCACATTTTATTTGGTAGAGGGATGGTGTTCTGTCCGGTGTCGGCATAGATCTTGTGAAGGGCGCCTATTGGATCTTCTTGCTTCCCATATTTCGGCGGCGAGCCCGCGGTGGAAATGGGGAGGGGCGGGCCTTCCCAGAAGGCTCGGAAGTCCCTCGACCTGAGAAATGTTCTAAGCCTTCCCCGAGGACGCGAAAAACTGTTCAGGAGGCGCGAGGGCTTCTGAGAAGTCCCGCCACCTTCTGAGAACGCCTTCTCCTTCTCACTGCCCCCCTCGCCCGCCGCCGAATATCCGCCCTTCCCTTGCTGGCCAGTGTCGCTCCTCCTCCTCCTCCTCATCATCATCATCAGCAGCAGCATCATCAGCATCATCAGCATCAACATCAGCATCATCAACAGCATCAGCATCATCATCAGCATCAGCATCAGCATCATCATCATCAGCAGCAGCATCATCATCATCAGTCTCCCTCCTCCTGATTCATGTTCCTCCTTCTCTTCATCCTGCCTCTCCTTATCCTCCCCCTCCCTCCCTTCTCCCCCATCCCCCAGCGCGCGGGAAAGGGCAATGAGTGATCGAGAGCGCCAGGAAGTAAGAGATGCAGTGGGAGTTTGTCTGGCCCTGGCCTGCAAGGTTCACCATTTCAGGCGCCTGCGCTACTGAGGCCACCCAGGGGCCGACGCGAGCAATCGCTCAGGGGAGGACGTCTGGGGCCTTCGAGGCTGAGGCTGGGAAGGCACATGAGAAGGCGGGAGCTGCCCCCGTTCCAAGCTTGTCATCCCCCTTCGCCGTGGGCTTTGCTGCTCTCCTCCTCTGCTTGTCCTCCTCCTCCTCCTCCTCGCCCACTGCCACCAATCACTGCTTTCCTCCGTCGTCATCGTTGTCGTCGTCGTCCTCCTCTTTCTCCTCGTCCGTTTCCACTGCCACCAATCACTTTTTCCTTTCGTCGTCGTCGTCGCCGTCCTCCTCCTCCTCCTCCTCCTCCTCCTCCTCCTCCTAATCGCCGTCGTCGTCCTCACGCTCTGCTTACGCCTCCTCCTCCTCCTTCTCCTCCTCCTTCTCTTCCTTGAAACTGTCAGCCCAAGAGAAGTATGGACTGCGGGCACCAAAGGGGCTATGCACGCGCGGGCGCAGGCGGTGAAGGGGTGCAAGGAGCAGCTCTCTGGGCTGCACCCGTACACGCTGAGTGCGCAGAGCAATCTGGCGGGCTTGCTGGCCAGCGCCCCAGAATGCGAGCCAAGAAAGGGGAGGCGCACGCGCATGCATGATGTTCCCGCCCAGTCCTTCCTCTGCATACTCCTTACAGCATTCGTTTTCTTCCTCCGTCCTCCTCCTCCTCCTCCTCCTCCCCCTCCGAACGTATGAAGCTAGAATCTGATAAACGAATACCAATTCAGGGGTTGTTTTTCATACGGGACCTCGGCACCAGCTTACAAAATAGATGTTGTTGAAGGAAATGCTTGCGTTAAGCGTTGGAGATACATGTCGCGTAACCCCCTATCCACCCCCCGGCCTTAATATTGAACGCGCGTTTCTGGAGAAGCGGGGCCAGAACAATCTTGAGCCCAGCATCTCGAGCGCCGTATTTGCCAATGTGAAGGCCGGGGGGTGGAGACGGGAATTCGGATCTATGTAGTTTGGGCGCAGGCGCGAAGCGGCGCGCGTCTCCCAGCCCACCCGCCCGCAGATTGCTGCTCTGGAGGAGGAGGAAGAGGAGGAGGAGGAGGAAGAAGGAGGGAGGAGAAGGATGAGGAGGAGGAGGAGGAGGAGGAGGAGGAGGAGGAGGAGGAGTTAGATGAGGAGGGGGTGGATGAGGAGGGGGTGGATGAGGAGGGGAGAGGAGGAGGAGGTGGATGAGGAGGGGAGAGGAGGGGAGGAGGAGGAGGAGGAGGAGGAGGAGGAGGAGGAGGAGGAGGTGGAGGAGGAGGAGGAGGGAGGAGGGAGATGGAGGAGGAGGAGGAGGAGGAGGAGGGAGAAGGGAGAAGGGAGAAGGAGGGAGGAGGAGGAAAGAGGAGGAGGAGGAGGAGGAGGAGTGGGTGCGCGCCGCCGCTTTCACCGGGGTGGAGAGAAGCGAGGAGCCGATACGAGGGGCGCGCGGCTGCGGTGCTTCGCCCAGCCTCCGGCTCAAGAAATGTGCTCGTTTTCTGATTCGTTCTTTTGCCGATCGGCGCGGGCCTTCGCACCCCTTCTCCCCCCCCCCTCGTGGGGTAGATCTGGGCCGTTTCGGGCGCCAGCTTCGAGCAGGTGGAGCCTCCCCCACAGGACGCCCTGCTGCAAGCAGTCGCATTAAGCAGGGGTCCGGAGCCAGACCCCTGCCCTCCCCGCATTAAGCAGGGGTCCAGAGCCAGACCCCCCCCCTCCCCCCTGTCCGCCCAATGTCGAAGGGCCGAATAAGAAAACGCGCACAAGAAGAAAAGTCATAAGAAGAATCATACGAGGAATAATCATACTAATAAGACCAATAATACTAACATTACTAATACTACTAGTCATAATCATCATCATAGTGATAAGAATAATAAAAGTAATAAGCCGAAGCAGTAGCGACAATAAGATCTGGACGAGCCCCCTTCCGAAAGCAGGACTCGGCTCACACAGCGGCGGGAAGTGAGGCGCCCCCGCGCCGGCTCACGAGGCAAGAGCCCTTCCATCCCCCCCTCCTCCCGCCAACAACAGCAACCACAGGAGCCACCCACCCAAACAAAAGACGAGAAGCCCTTGATAACAACAAATCGTACAAATAGTATTGCTCCCCCCACGAGAGAGAGAGAGAGACACACACACACACAGGGAGAGCGAGAGAGAGAGAGTGAGAGGAGAAGAGAGGATAGAGAGAGAGAGATCAGATATAGAGAGAGAGAGATAGAAACAAAAAAGGAGATAGAGAGAGAGGGAGAGAGAGCGAGAGAGAGAGAGAGAAAAACAACAAGTTCTTCACGGAAGCTTCAGAGAAGCTTCCGATAGGCTTCTGAGGGGCTTCGAGGGGGTACTCGGATGCTTCGGGGTTGCTCGTGAGAGAGTGCCGGGAAGCGTCGGAGGGGCTTCTCATCGGCTTCCGAAATGTGTCCGAAAGGCTTTCTCGGGGGCATCCGAGAGGTTTTCAGGAAGGCTTCTGAGAGGCTTCTGACAAGGCTTCTGAGCAGCTTTCGGGGGACTTCTAAGAAGCATTACATTGGGGCTTCTGAGAAGACTTCCGGGAGGATGTTGAAAGCACCCGTCTGCCATACATCTTCGCCGTGTTTGTCACGCGGCTGTCCTAACTCGATCCTTTAGATGAATATCTTTGTGACAAACAGAGCAGGAGAGGGCCGTCCGTTCCTATCCTGGCTCAGGCTGATCATGCGGTCTAGCCTCGCCGCGTCGACCGCAATAGCCTGGCTGGCGGCGTGGGTCTCGCGCTCTGGCCTGGAGTGGGCGTGGCGGCGCGAGGGACCAGCGTGCCCGCTGTGTCCAGACCTCTACTGCGCGGAGGTCCCGCCGTGCCCGGGGCTGAGCTGCCCCGCCCCGCCGGCGTGCCCGGCGCTGCAGTGCCCCGCGTCGCCGGCTGTGCACTGCCAGGCCCGCTGCTCGGAGGAGCTGGGGCCACCATAGCAGGCCGCAGGCAACGCGAGCTCGCTGGAGGAGGCACCGCTTCAGGCTGCACCTCGGGCAGCCCCGCGGCCCCGTGAGTCAGGGGCTGCTGCGGCCCCAGCGGTCTCCCCGGCGGCGGAGGGGAGTGCGGCGGGGTGGCTGGCCAGCGCGGTCCTAGAGTTGCTGGGAGGCAGCGTCGGGCTCTTCTTCACGAGGTGCTGGTGGTCGCCAGGGTGAACGCCCAGGCTTGCCTGAAAATCGCTTCTGGCTCGTGCTCGTCCCGTTCCTCGTGCCCTTCGCGATGGCGCAGGTGGTTCAGGAGTGGGCGTGGGTTCAGTACGCAGGAGCACCGCTCTTTCACCAGCGACACGTGGACGGAGTCTTGGCGGGTACTCCAGCGGCAGCGATTGAGGTTGTGGTGACGACGCCAGACGGCGACGTGTACTGCGAGGTGTATGGAGGTACCGACCCGACGATCGCGGCCGTGCGCTGGAGTGACGTTCGGCGTCCGCCTCCGCCGGGGGTGCCTCGCGACTCGTACCGATTCAAGAGAGACACCACCCCCGCGGAGGAGATGGAGTTCCAGCGGCAGGCTCGGATTGCTGCTCGAGATGAGTTCGTCGCGCGGGACCAGCGACACGGGGGACCAGGCGTGGAGCCCGCTGGAGGCGCGCTGCTGCCGCTGGCCGCCGACGTGGCGCGGGAGCCGCTCTCGCCGCCCCGCTTCCCTGGCGAAGGGGAGGGGTGTCCGCACCCAATCGGAGGCGGAGGCGGGCTTCGGGCGGCGGCCGGCGTGGGCGGCGCTGGCGCTGGCCCCGCGCTCGGGGCTGCTGCGGGCGCCGCGGCGGGTCCTGCCGTCCCCCCGCCTCGCGACGACGAGCTCGTGTGGGTCGTGACGGAGACGCAGCCCGGGCTGAAGCGGGGGTCGGTGGTGTTCCTTGGGGCCGGGATGCCGAGCTTGGGAGACGCTGGCTTGTACCAAGTGCCAGGCGCGGCTCCCGGCCCCCGGGGGCCTGCCGCCGTGTTGGTGCGGCGCATGAGGTACGACGAGGTGTCCAGCTTCATGAGGGCGGAGTTCCATGCCGACGCCCGCGTGCTGCCGGTGGAGCTTCTGGGCGACCGTCGCCAGAGGCTGACTTGGCGGCATGCGGTGGAGCGGTCGTCGGTGACGCCCTTCGCCGACTGGCCGATCCAGGGCCCGCGAACGGTGGAGTGGGTGATGAGGTTCCTCGACCGACGCGGAGGTGGGCCAGGCGATCATCATGCTTGGTGGCGCCAGGTCAACCGACTGCAGCGAGGCGACTGGGGCGTCGACATCCACGAGAATGGCTTACGCGCCCTCGAGCTGGGCGCGACCTACGACAACCTGGAGCTGGCCAACCTCGCGATCCTGGAGGTCATCGCGCGGGAGTGCCAGCTCGCGGAGCACGCGTGCTCCCGCGAGCCCATCGGCGGGTCCGCGGCGGAGTCGGGCGACAAGGACGGCAAGAAGGACAAGAAGGGCAAGGGCGGCGGCCGCGCGGGCCTGCTGGACGAGAGTGACGTGTTCATGGGGCGGCACCGCGAGGCTGGTGAGACGATGGTGTCGCCCGATCTGTTGGACTTCGTGGCGAGAGAGGTCGAGCGCGACGCCAGCGCGCTCAAACGAGTTCGCAATGCACGGGAGGAACGTCGTGCCTTGCGGGGCAATGGCGCATGAGGAGCATCCGCCTGGCTTCGGGCCCGGGCCAGGCGGGGAGTACCGGGCCCACGGATTCGAGCAGTCAGCTGGCGGTGTGCATCGCAGACGGCGCGACCTTTTTTCCCCTTCCTCGGCTTTCGGAGGTGGCTCCTTGGACGCTTGCCTCCCCCCATGCATGCCGCGCGACAAGAAGGCGAGACCTCCGCCAGGCAGCGATCGACGCGGCCACCGACGAGCTCGTCGACACCCTGAACGAGACGCACAGGGCCCCCCGCGGCGGGTCGCCCCGCCGCCCGGCTTCGAGACCGGCCTTGGCGCAAAGACTTGCTCTGGACAACCTCCAGCAGCGCGTGGTGGACCTGGGGCCGCCTCCCGAGGACCTCGACGGACCAGGAGCCTTCGACGAGCTCTGGTCCAAGCTGGCCTACGACGGCGCGTCGTCCGGGCTGGCCCCTCTTCGCGTGCACCTGCTGGACCCTCCTCCTCCTGGCTTTCACGCTGTGACGTTGAGCGGGGCGGCGGGGCCTGCAGGCGAGTTGATCGAGAAATAAGGCGCTTCCCGGCGTGGAGGGGGAGGCGAGACTGAAGCAATTTGGCTTGCGCCGGGCCTACACTGACCCCGCCTTGCGCAGTCGCAAGGTATACATCGAGCTCTTGAAGCGGCTCTACGCCGCGAACCTGATCGACTTCCGACGCAGTGTTCGGCGTAGAGTGGGGTGTTTCAGCGCGTGGAAGTCGGGCGCACAGCGCCTGGTGATCGCCAGGACCCCCGACTGCTTCTTCGAGGATCCGGACTTAGTGCAGTTGGCAAGTGGGGCATGCTCCGCCAACCTTCAGCTGGGCGCAGGGCCGCCGCCGGTGCTGGGAGGCGCCGACATCCAGGTGGCATTCTACGCCATCGCGATGCCCAACGAGCTGCGGGACCTCTTCGGCTTCGACCCCGTCAAGGCGCGGGAGCTCGGGG